GATATTTCAATCAATGGAATACCACAAGATCTACTCATTATACATGACATCATTACAAATCTATTTTTACATGAAATCTAAATCATATACCATTAAGAGTATTGTTCTAATGGGCAACTAGATTCAAATCTTGATAAATATTGTTCATTTTAAACAAAACTCTTTCAAATGAATCCGGTACAATCCTTAATAATAAAAATTATGTAGAGTTTCTTAACTATTTATTGATTTTGATTGTGTATGAAATAACATTTTAAAGAAAAAAAAATAGTGTTTACTTACATGTATCGTTCTGTCGAGAAGGAATTAAAGTATGCATATTCTCAAGAAAATAGAAATTTCAACATGTTGCCATCGTCGAAGAACAAAAAAGAAAAAAAATGCTTTTTGGTTTTTTTCTTTCGTCTTCAAACACACTTATTTATTCCATCCTGTACGAATTTATAAAACAAATATTGTATGAGACTTCTCAATTGCTTGAAATAAAGACGACGAAAAATAAAAATAAAAATATGTTGCAGTCAGTCTGCCACATAGTGACAATATTCCTATTATTATGTTTCTTTTTCGATTTCTATCTGCGAGTATGGTTGTGGATCTAATCTGTCCACTGACGCACAATCACGCCCCACAAACACCTTCACTGACACCCCACCCTTATGCTATGCAAGGTCATCTGACACTGATTCTCTAAAAAAGAACGGAAAAAAACTTTGGTGATTGTTATAATTAATCTGTCGATAATTGATGAAAAAATTTTATTCACATTCATGGATATTGAGAGTTTGCATAGTTCGTACAACAAGTTGATGTTTGCCCCAAGAAACAACATTCAATGGTTTTAAAGAATAATTCTCAATTTTAAGAAGTGTTCCATCATTGAGTATATAAATACATCGATGGTTATATCTATCAGCTACTCTCCAATATCGATGATTGAATAAAGAACATCTATATCCCCATCCTTGCCCAAGTACAATCATCCACATACACTCGAAAGATTTTATTGAACGAATTTCCAAATGACTTTGATTGGTTAATCCATTCTCGATAATTATTCCAAGATTGTTATCACTATATTTAATATCATTAATCATATCATTTTCATCAGATATTATTTCTGATTGATATCGTCTCTGAAAATGAATAGATGGATAAAAATTAAATTCAGCGATAAATGGATTTTGTCCAAATGTTGATAAAAATAAAGTTGATTCAGAACATGTAACACGTTCCCAAGTACTATCAGTATTAAAATATATGTTATATGGACTAAGAACCATTGTTTTTTCGTCAAGAGTAAATATTTCTTTCGAAGAAATAAAAATAAATTTGTCAAGAATTTCTGACCAACAAATATCTTTTATTCCTGAGTGTTGAAATGATTTTTGGTGAACAATATTGAAATGTTGATTGAATAAACATATATTTACTTTTCCAATAGCTAATATATGCATTTGATTAGTAGCTAATGTAAACCAATTATCAGATGAAAAGTCGATCATTCGCTTAGGAAATATTAAATTAGGATAGAAACAATTTTGTGGAGATAGAGAATATTGATAAGAGACAGTTTCCATTGAAGAAAATCCAGACTTATTTGACGAAGTTGAACCAAAAACTGTACCAATTTCCTTTTTGAAAGATAAATGATTAGATTGTGAAAATGAAGGAATTTGAATATCTTTCATTGGAGATGGAAGAGAAATAATCGATTTATCGATTTCTAATGAATGAAATTGATATTGAATATATTTAAGTTGATCAAGATTTTGTTCAATTAGTTCAATTGTTTGTTTAATCAAATCAAGATTCTTTTCAGTTTTATCATAATTATTAATCATTAAAGCTGTTAGAGTTCGAAGATGATCGAATTCTGCTTTGGTTCGATTAATATATTTATCAGATAATTCTTTACAAAACTGATCAATTATTTGATGAGATTCGCAACGCCATTTTTCAACATTTTTAAGAAATCTTAATTCATTAATTGAAATATTGTTTATTCGATGATTAAGTTCATTTAAACTCTTTAATATCGATGAATTTCCAACATTGTTTTCTAAATTATTAATAGAATCATTCTGTTGTTCACAATAATTAGAGGAACTAGACGAAAATGTTTTACATTCATTAACATCACATGGCAATATTGTAGATGAATTCATTTCTTTTCTTTGAATGAATTCGTTTTATGCATCTCAAAACAGATTCTTGAGAAAGAAAAAAAATAATTTTCTTTTCTTGTGTATTTTTAAAAGACTAAAGTAGATTTTGTTTAATTTGAACTTTGAAAGCATAGAAGTATAAATAAAATTATTGAATAATGCTGGCTTTGTTTGATCAAATTTATTTTACAGTTTAAATAAAACTTGTTGACACAATCTCTATTGTAAAAATGCACGACATCTTTTCCTATAACTGATGATTTCGTATTGTTTAATCTTTTTAGTGTACAAACTACAAAAACAAAAGCATTGATAAAATGTAAAACTTTGAAAAGTCGATTTAGAAATAAACTCAAAATGAATCGAATGATTTTTAACTAAATAAAATCAAGTTTTCATATTCCATATATGAATGTTAAACCATCATTTTATTTGAGTGCACAGGGCTGGCTTGATATGGGGTTGTGACAACCCCCCAATAATCGAAAATTTTCGTTTTTCCCCAGCGAAAATGAATTTTTTTTCTTGAGCACTGTTAGAAAAAAGTTTTATTCGCATTACAAAAATCCGGAACAACCCCCGAAAAATCGCGACAACCCGCATATGTTTGCTGACTCGGACCAGCCCTGTGAGTGCATCATTATCAAAATAGCAAAAGAAATTTAATACTAATTGGCCTTCGCTTATTATTCATGTTTCATTTCTTTATAAATACTATTGGCGCTGATTTGAATAGAGCTGTAGCATTGAATAATTGAAGCACTTTAGTTTCTTCCATCATTTCTTTAGTAATATGTGTATCATCTATTAGAATCATACAATAATACATTTCTATTTTTATATTTACCATTTAATTTAATCTACTGATTTTTTTATTTATCAACAAGCTAATTATTTTGATAATTGATCGTTTATTCAATTTACAGATTATTCATTGTTTTATTGATTATTTCATTCATTCTACCGGCAACTTTAATGTAGCCTAAAATTTTCAAACCAAAAAACGTATACTTTGATGATATTCTCATGATTATTTTGCGCACATTGTGATGCATACCTTTTTTGTTGTATTAGTATCGTAAAGCTGTATGAAGGACGAATGAGAGAACAAGCAAAACAATCGCCAAAATTTTCAATCGCAGAAAAAAAGCAAAATATTCATTGAAATTATTCTCATTATTTCTCCGCGATAGTTGAATGCGCAAGGCAATAAATATTTTTCAACGTATATATAAGCAACATTATGCTTTAGTTTGAAGCACAAAAACGACGACACATTACAGTGATATCATCCTCCTGGATAGACAAGATTCTTTACAAATACAACGAGCAAACGTATGATACTTACTAGACTGTAGTTTCTGTCGATGGTTTTTTTTTGTAATAAGTCTAGATGAGATTTTACTGTCCTCAAGTAGTGGCAATAAGATGTTA